GGACTGCAGTACACGGACTGTAATATTAAATACAGGGAGAGACAGAAATGCAGTACACTGACTGTAATACTGTATAGAGAAGAAGAAGCCTCTAAGCTCGACCAAATTATCAGCATGGTAACACTGCCTGTCTCTCTGTCCCAGGCCCACCCTGCTCTGCCACGTGTCTGCCCCAGTCCTGCTGGGGAGAAGGAAACCAGGACTGTCAGACTTGTGAGTAACACTGTCTTCCTGTCCGTCTCTGTGTCCTATGTGCAATGGTGTCTGCCTGCCTGTTACGTGGGTAACGGTCTCTGCCAGCCTGCCAGTCTCTGTCCTGCGAGTGTCTGTGTGAGGCATGCCCCTTGGCCATGCTGCTGTCCGGGAGACTGACGTTGCTCCTCCCCGTCTCTGTGCAGTGACATACACTCCGTGTGCCTCCGGGTGTCGGCGCTGCAAGGGTCCCCAGCCCAGCGACTGCTGCCACAAGCAGTGTGCAGCCGGCTGCACGGGGCCCAAGGACACCGACTGCCTGGTGAGTCTCGCCGCTGCTCGCCTGACCAGCGCATGCAGTGGACGTCATGCAGGACTTCGGTGCACACATTTCTCCGGGCGTGCTCTTTGTGCATTGCAGCTCAGAGGTGATATCTCTTTTTCCATTCCCTTTCCCCTTTTCCATCCCCCCTTCTTCTTCTCCTCTCCATCTCTCTCCTCTTCTCTTTCGCCCCCCCTCTCGTGTCTGCCTCTTGCTCATCTGGTCTTCCCCAGGCTTGTCGCCAAGTCAACGACAGTGGGACCTGCAAGGAGGACTGCCCCCCTCCGACCGTCTACAACCCCGTCACCTTCCAGTCGGAGCCCAACAAGGACAGGAAGTACAGCTTTGGCGCCACTTGCGTCAAGGAGTGCCCATGTGAGCTCCGACATCACTTCCTCCTGCATGCCCAGTCCCGCTCCCCACCCTTCCTCTTCTGGCCTCTCCCTCCAGATCGCATGCGGTCTCTTCCTCATGCTTTGAGATCCATCCATCTGTTCTCGGTTGTTCATTGCGATTGAAACGTAGAGTAAATTTGGATCGGAGCTGAAGTAAATCTGTGTTCTTTCTCTCCCTTCCCCCATCTCTCTAGAAGATAAAAAATAAATAATGCAGAAAACAGAAATAGTACAGTATTCAGGTTAAATATATGTGCAATGAGTGAATATTTCCATTGAATAAAAACAAATAGAAATTCTGCACTTGACAGTTGTCCCTGTGCCCTTTCTTCCTGACTTGTCTTGCTTTTCCAATTCTCTCTCTCTGTAGATAACTACCTGGCCACAGTGGTGGGCTCGTGCACGATGGTCTGCCCCAATCACACGCAGGAAGTGATAGTGAACCGGGAGCAGAAGTGCGAGAAGTGTGACGGGGAGTGCCCTAAAGGTGCGCACCTCCTCTGTGCACGTCTCTGCACCGATTTCTGCAGGGGGTGTGTGTAGGCGTGTGCACTGCCAGTGCATGCTTTTTGTGTGCGTGGCGAGAGTGTGCACCCTGTATTGAATTCCCTTATTTCTTTCCTCTGTCTTTTGATGAGCTCACTTTTAGTGCTTGCTAAAGTAATTCAACTTCATTAGCACAATGACTCGATTAAATGTTGCCATTTGGTTGACCTGTCTCTGTCTCTATTCAAATTATGAAAATCAGAAAGACTTCTATTCGCATTGATGATACAGCCGTGTGGTTTTGCTTATATGAGAAATATAATCAATAACATGAGCTGTTCTCTGCCCTCTCCTCTCTCAGTGTGCTACGGGCTGGGGATGGGATCTCTACAGGGGGTCTCGTCAGTGAACCCCTCCAACATCGGCCTGTTCCGGGGCTGTGCCAAGATCTTCGGCAGCTTGGCCTTCCTGGCGGATACCTTTGCTGGGTAGGAGGAGAGTCTCCATTTGCTCCTTCTCTTGTGCCTGATCCTGCTGTGCGTGTCGTTCTGCATGCCTGACTTCCTTCTGTGTGTTACAGTGACCCAGCCACCAACAAGTCAGGCCTGGATGTGAGCCAGCTTAGCGTATTTAAAGACCTGACGGAGATCACAGGTACACCCCTCCCTCTGTCTCACTTGTGCAGCCACAAATTCACTCATGTACTTAGAAAGATGGGTTTCTATTGGAAGACAAAGTGAAGTGTTTGTGGATTATTATTAATTTGTCTTATCCACTCTATATTTTTAACCAACTTTTACAGCTGGGTATTTTCCTGAGGCAATCTTGAGTAAAATAGCTTGCTTGGGTGTACAACAGATTTGAACCCACATCCTTCCAGCTCACAGCCATCTTGCATCCTCCACATTGCCACCAAATATAGTGAACTGGGCTCCCCCTTCATGAGATCGTGTGTCTGTCTGTCAGGGTACCTGTATATTGAAGCCTGGCCCGATAGCCTGAGAGACCTCGGTGTGTTCGAGAACCTGGCGGTCATCCGGGGCCGGATGCTGTACAGGTGGGCTCACTGTCCGTCCACTTCGAGAATAATTCCGGGTCTTTTTTCCACGTTCAAACACTTTTATCAGTGTATTGACAAGCCCATCAGGTATTGCCAGAGACGCATAACACGGCCCTCCCTCTGTCCCTCCACCTCTCTGTCCCTCCCTCTGTCCAGGGGCGTGATCTCGCTGGGCGTCCAGTCGGTCCAGGTGGAGTCCCTCGGGCTGCGGTCACTGCGAGAGGTCAGCGGCGGGCTGGTCCTCCTCCATAACAACACCAACCTCTGCTACACCCCCTCTCTGCCCTGGGGGACCATCCAGCAGCCACACGCCCAGCAGCTCATTGACACCCACAACAAGCCCCCCAACGTCTGCGGTACGAGCTCTGCGTGATTCCTGGACTCTGTCTCTGTCTGCGTGCGCCTTCTTTCAATGTGATTAGCTGCTTGCTGTGTTATTGGTTGCCGTGTCTCAATTCACACCCTTATTGGTTCTCTTGCCCTCAATTTTATTCGCTCCTTTTGTCTCCATAGCGGCGGAAGGGCGGGTTTGCTACCACCTCTGCACCAATGGCAGCTGCTGGGGGCCGGGGCCAAGCCAGTGTGTGTCATGTGACGGATTTCTGCGAGGGTCTGAATGCGTCAAGGAGTGTAACATCTCCCAGGGGTGAGAGACGCCTTACAACTCAGCCCACTGACTCACTGCAAAAACCCTCCTGTGCAAACTTCCATTGCACAGTAGCACAAGATATGCTCAGGAGCTGTCATCATCTTGATACGACTTCGCTTCCCGAAAATAAGGGCATGGTTGCGTGCTTGTTTCAAAGGTCTTCCCAGGGCTGTTTGATGTAAAGAGCCATCCAAGAAGACTAGATAGTTGCAGAAGATGTTGAAGGGGAACTGCGACTCTATTTTTATATTTCAGAGTTAGAAAGAATCAGCATTGATGAGTGCATTTCAAACCACAATAAAAGTAAAATGCACAGTATACAGTAACTTGTAAAACCTCCAGTTTACATCACAAAATCGGCAGAATTTCCAGTTTTGCGCTGCGCCAAGTTCTGCAATTCAGAAAGAGGCAACAAGACTTCTGGTGAGGTGTTGCAGCCTTATTATAAGCTGGCTTGTGGATATATCTCTTTTAGTCCAATAGAAATATTGCGTTTGATTTTGAGATGGTTTTGCTGACAAATACTACTTGTTAACTCTGCGTGCAGACTACGTTAGAACATTTCTGCAGTGAAATGTCTGCTGCACAACCATTATTTATTCACTTGTACATCACATTGCATTCCTCATTACAGTGACTTGCGAGCAGGAAGAGCTGTATCTTGTCCCAATTTGTGGGAACTCAGATTGCAAGTTTGCAACAACATGGCGACTTAGAGTACTTTCACAAAGTTTACGGTTTTGTGCTTCATTTGAAATTTGTCAAAATTTCTATGTCAATTATTTTGTTTCCAAGATTTAATAACTCGTCAGAGAAACTGGGGTGCAGTTCCCCTTTAAAATACTGAAAGAAATGGATTCTGGTCATGCTTAACAAAGCTATAAGCTAACATCCCCTTAGAGAGAGTGAAGTACTTTGCCTATTCAAAACTGTGGAGTATTTTAGTGTGACTTGTCTGTGGTTTGTGCACAGGGATATTCGGGAGTACATTGATGGCCTGCGCTGTGTTCCCTGTCACCCAGAGTGTAAACCCCAAAACGACACTTCCTGCGATGGACCGGTAAGTCTCTGCAGGGCATTCTGGGACACTGAGGCAGGACGATTGCATTTGCCTTGATTTGTCAGTGTAGGATTACAGAGATCAATCTCCTTTTACATAGAAAAGGTTTTTTCCCCCTTGCATTTGACAACATTACAATAGACTTTGTGTTTATCAGTGCAGTGATTGGCTGTGTATATCAACCCTATGTTTATCAGTGCAGTGATTGGCTGTCTGGGTTGCCACCCAGGTGTTTATCAGCACATTCATTCGCTGTGGTTTTACCAGGGGGCGGACCAATGCAAAGAATGCCAGAACTTCCAGGATGGGGACAGCTGTGTGGCACGCTGCCCCAGTGGAGTCAAGGATGGCCACTATACCATCTGGAAGTACCCTGATGAGAAAGGGCAGTGCCAGACCTGTAGCACCAACTGCACCCACTCGTAAGTGTGATGCACACAGGCATGGGGGGGGGTTTGTGTGCAGGAGCTGACAAACCACAGCTGTTAGTGATGTGTGCGATGTATGCACACAGACAATTCCAAGCACCTGGAGACGCATGTACACTTTAGCAAAACAAACACTTGCAGCTGCAAAAATATTCGCCCAGTGGTGCACACACTGTTCACTTGACATCCAGCAACTCATCTGAAACAAGAACTTAAAAAAAAAAAGAAAAACCGGGTTCTGCAGCCTGGTGTGGAAATGAAAAAATGAGGGGAACAGTTTTTGTTTTTGCTGTCCTTTGTGCAGATGCAGCTTGCTGGATGAGAGAGGCTGTCCCATCGACCAGAAGGCTGGGTAAGGACTGAGCCCGAAGGGTCAGCAGCTTTCTTTCAAAAGGGTTCAGGCGCTGAGTTTACATAAAACGCGTCTTTGCGTGAAATATTTTTTCCTTTTATCTATGACACTGAATTTCATGTGTTAGGCTCAGCTCCACTGCACTTAAATTTAAAGAAGAACAAAGAGCAAATCTTCATTAAAATCCTTTATGCAGCTGTACCCAGGCAACTTATAAAAAAACTACTGGGTCCCTAACTATGTAACAGCCTCTTTTTGGTGACTCATCTGAAGTTTCTAGCTTAAGACACTGGTATAAATGTCACCAGTGTGCTTAGTTGTGCCTCATTTTTTGTTTTGCAATGGGTTGCACTGTTCCAGCAATTCAAAGAAGGATCATATTTTCAGATGAGAAAGGCAATTATTATTAGCTGGGTGGTTGATTGGCCTCCCTCCCTTGGTCTCTGGGAATTGTTAATAAGTGTCTTGATCACTTTGGAAACAATAAAGTTGGATTAAGTAAGATGGCATGTTTTAAAGAAGAGTGGAGTAAGCCTTTGAAAGCACAAGGTTTAAAATAGGAGCTCTATATAACTCATCATCATAATTGCACTATAAACGTGATAGATACATTTTTAAGCTATACTGTGAAGTAGCTGTCACTGTACCTGTTTTTTAAAATAATTTCAAGTGGAAACTGTGTGGAAGCAGAGAGTGGAGCTGTCGCTGTAACAAAAAGTATTCTGTTTGTTGATTGGTTCATCTGGGATAATGTGGTGGGATGTAGTTAGGGGCGTGTGGAAAGATGAGCCAATGGCGTGACGGCCCCGGTGGTCTGTTGTCCCCTGATAGGCCGGCAACGTCAATTGCAGCCGCGGTGGGCGGGGTCCTGCTCTTCCTGATCCTGGTGGCCCTGCTTGTTGCCTACCTGAGGAGGAAGCACTACCTGAAGAGGAAGGAGACCATGAGGAGGCTCTTGCAGGAGCATGAGGTGAGAGGGGGAGAGGAGTTGAAGCGAGAAGCCGAGTTATGAGAGAGGTCAAGAGCGGAAGTGAGAAGAAGGGTTTGCTTTCTTATAAAATACGGGGAACCTTCTGGGGCACCACAAGGCTGTAGATCTTTCTTACTGCTGGCCTCTTTTTGCTTTCCTCTCCCCCAGCTGGTCGAGCCCCTAACTCCCAGCGGCGCAGTGCCTAACCAGGCCCAGATGCGAATCCTGAAGGAGACGGAGCTGAAGAAGGACAGGGTGCTCGGCTCTGGGGCGTTCGGCACGGTCTACAAGGTAAGCGCTCGGCCACGGAGAAGAAGCCCCGTGTTCCACGTGCCGCCGATACTGCCCACAGTCTGTAACAGCCCCATCGCCACCTCTTACTGTTCTGCTGGTCTCTCCTCTGCTTCCGCTCAGGGCTTTTGGACTCCGGATGGAGAGAATGTGAAGATCCCTGTGGCCATCAAGGTGTTGAGAGAGAACACCTCCCCCAAGGCCAACAAGGATATTCTGGATGTGAGAATTTTTTCGTCCGTCAGTCTGTCCCTCTCATGACGTTTGCTTCTGGACCTTAACTTGGTCTGTCCATTGGCGTGACTCGGGAGCGTCCATCCACCTGGACAGCGATCTCATCCCTGTTTGTTTCAGGCAGTCTCTGTATTGCAGACTACATAGTCAGACCCCCCCCCCACCCTGCTCTGATGAGTGCTTCTGTGTGGCTGTGTAGCGTCCTGTGAACCCCTCTCCCTCCCTGTCCAGGAGGCCTATGTGATGGCGGGAGTGGCCAGCCCCTACGTGTGCCGCCTGTTGGGCATCTGCTTGACCTCGACGGTGCAGCTCGTCACCCAGCTGATGCCATACGGCTGCCTGCTGGAGTACGTCCGCGAGCACAAGGACCGCATCAGCTCCCAGAACCTGCTCAACTGGTGTGTGCAGATCGCCAAGGTACGGTACTGCCCCCTTGCCCTGGACCCGGAGGAGTGTCCCCGTCTGTCCCTCCCTCTTAGCCGCAGCTGGTCCTCGGTCTCCGCGTTTCTGTCCATCTCACCCTGGTTACACCTCTTTGTCTGTGCTGGCAGGGCATGAGCTACCTGGAAGACGTGCGGCTGGTTCACAGGGACCTGGCGGCCCGGAACGTGCTGGTGAAGAATCACAACCACGTCAAGATCACCGACTTCGGCCTGGCGCGCCTGCTGGACATCGACGAGACCGAGTACCACGCTGACGGGGGCAAGGTAGGCACTCATCTGTCTGGCCCTCTGCCTCTCTGTGTGCCCGTCAATCCAAGGTTGACAGTTAGACTCTTGCAGCTTAGGATGCAGGCTGGTGTCATTTTATGGTTTCTGTGCATTTGCTTATAACACATTATTGTGTATCCAATAATGGATGATCATGGAGATGCTCAAATGGCCATTTGAGAGGAGTGATATTGTATCACTATCAGTCGTACACCTCTTAATGGTAGACACCTGTCCTTCTTAATCTGAGGCTTTTGTCACATTCTGTTACATCGTGATTAAATTGTGACACGACAATTTTGTTTCCTAAAAACCGGTTTAATGCCCAGCAGTGTAGAGCGGTAGGTAGAGGTCCGGAGTAGCGACTGAAAGGTTGTGGGTTCAAATCCCAGGTGAGACTCTGCTGTTGTGTGCCATTGAGCAAGGTGCTTGACCTGAACTGTTCCAGGAAACACACTCAGCTGTATAATAGGTGCAAATGTAAGATGCTTTGAATTAGGGCTGGGCGTTATGGCCAAAAACATTATCACGATAAAAATGTTCATATCAGTCGATATCGATAATTATCACGATACATGTCAAATTATTATTTCTTTCAAGTTTAAAGGCAGATTTTTTCTCCTGAGTGAAAGTTGAAGAAACCAGACAGTTAATTGGTAAATTAAACAACTTTTTATTTTAAGAACACAACAAACACTTGCCAAACAGCAGAAACATTAAACAAATCTGTTAGCTGCCCAGTCTGCAACACACTCGCGCATATCATGTGCAAAACATAAACATATATATCGAACCTTTGTTAAAATTATATCGAGGAAAATTATATCGCGATAATTATTATCGAATTATCACCCAGCTCTACTTTGAATAAAACAGTCAACCAAATAAGTTAGTAATAATACTGCAGATGCACAAGTCTGGATCTAGAATACCTGCCTATAGCAAGCTCTAACCTGTGAGCAGGTTCAACTATTTGGCAGTAATATCATGCAACTTTGTGTGATTCATTGACACTGTGTTTTCCTGTGCTCCCTGTGTGTAGGTGCCCATTAAATGGATGGCGTTGGAGTCCATTATGCATAGGAGATTCACTCACCAGAGTGACGTGTGGAGCTACGGTACGCTGCTCGAATCCTGGCCTTAGAAAATTCATGGCAAAACTCTTCTTATTTTAATTTCAGTTCTTATGACTGTAATTAATATGATTTCTGTACGGTCATGTCATATGTTTCCCTGTGTACCATGTTGCTGTATACTAATAGCTCTCGAGATAGATTAGTATAAGCAACTGACTTGAGTGCATGTTTTTTAATAAGCCTGGAACTGTTAATGATATATTGGAATAGTTGTTTTAAAACTCGACCATCTCTGGGAACAACTCCCAGTACCCACTCACCTCACGAGAGAATGGGACATGAGGACACGAGTCCTCCTCTGACATACACACTGGCAGAATCCATTTGGCCTTAAATCCATGGTGCCTGCCAGGAGGGGCAGCGCTGATGTCCCTGCAAGCCTGTGGACGCCTGGCGAGTCACGGGAGTTTCTTGTGTGCAGGAGGTCCAGTTGGCTCTCCGCTCAAACACGTGACATCTGGAGCCCAACCTGTGCTCAGAATGAATGTAGTAGTGTGTGTGGGTCACGTGGGGAAGGCTGTATCAGTGAAACTGTTTCTACATGCCAGGGGTGACAGTCTGGGAGCTGATGACGTATGGGGCCAAGCCCTATGACCAGATCCCCGCCCGGGATATCCCCGAGCTGCTGGAGGGGGGGGAGCGTCTCCCACAGCCCCTCATCTGCACCATCGACGTCTACATGATCATGGTCAAATGTGAGTAAGAGAGGATGGCAGGTTCTGGGGACCGAGAGGAGGAACTGGACACCAGGGAGGGATCTCTTCAGGGGCAGAGAGGGAAAAAAGAAAGAAAGGGGGAAAAAAGGAAGGGGGGATCTGAGATGGGTTAGGTTCAGGGGGGTAGAACGAAGCAGCAGAGAGAGAGGAGGAAGGATGGATTGGGGTTCTGGAGAGGAGAAAGGGGAGTCAGAGGAAGATCCATGGGCAGGCACGAGTAGGGGGAACTGGAGCCTGGTAGAAATATGGGGAGGGAATGGAGATGTCTGCCAGGAACTTTGGGACAGAGGGGAAAGAGAAAGGATGAGCGATGAGGAATCGGGATAAGAGAGTTTGGTGTGACATGCCCAGGAGGACCAAAGAGAAGGACAGCAGAATAGATGGCTATAGGGAGCTACTGGGAGGGAGATATTTATAGAGGGGAATAAATGAGAGAGCAGTAGCAGTAATGGCCTGTGTATGCATGTGAATCCCCAGGCTGGATGATCGACCCAGAGAGTCGTCCCAAATTCCGAGAGCTGGTGACAGAGTTCAGTACCATGGCCAGAGACCCCTCCAAATATGTGGTCATACAGGTGGGTCTCTGACTGCACGGTACCTTTTGGCTTACCAGTGTGTAAAAACCTACTAGGCAGTTGTTGTAGCAGCCTCATCGGAGGTGTTCCTCATTGTCCGTCAAATGCATGTTCAGTTTCTTCATTCATTCTCTTTTTTGTTAATGCCTCTCGGAATGACAGGCATGGCCCCGTTGACCCAAGCAGACGCTCACTCTCTCTCTTTCTGCCCTTTCAGAATGACGGGCAGATGAGCCTGTCCAGCCCGCTGGACAGCGAGTTTTACCGGACGCTGATGGCAGAAGAGGGAGACATGCGGGACCTGCTGGACGCAGAGGAGTACTTGGTGCCTCAGCCAGTCTTCTTCAGGGGGGGAGACCAGAGCAATGGGCCCACGCGTCACCCCTCCCACAGGGTCAGTGGAAGGGCATGGGATTGTGTGTGTGTGTGTGTGTGTGTGTGTGTGTGTGTGTGTGCTTGTGTTCATACCTCTGGTCACACTGAGTGAGAGGGAGTGCGTGCTTTTGTGTGCAAGTCTCCTCTAATCAAGTCCAGTTAAGATAAAAACCAGCTCCAGTGATTCAGCTATTCAGGACTGATGGTGCTTGCAGAGCTGCTACTGTCTCATTACTGCAAGGTCCTGGGTTCGATTTCAGCCTGGGATGCCTCTCTGTATAGAGTGTGCATTTTCTCCCCATTGTTTTTTGCATGGGGTATCACTAGGTGCTCCACCTTTTTCCACCTCATAAAAATAATTGTGGGTTAAGTTGATTGACGATTCTAAACTGTTGCTTTCCAAAGGGTGTTCTGAGGCATTTTCATGCTTGAGGGGCTTGGTTCCTAGCACAAGCAGTACAAACTAGTTGCATGACTGAAGGGCAATGGAACTGATGGAGTACCCTGGGCTGAATGACCTCCAATCAGATGTGCCTCTTCTGATGTTGTAAAGTGAGAAATTCTTATGATCTGTCAGGCCAAGAGTAGCCAATTCCTTCTGACTATCCATTTTCTAAGCTCTTTATCCAATTCCGCGTCCCGGGGGAGCCAAAATGTTATATACATATACAGCACATGATCATTATCATGGTGCAGTGGCTCTGTGGCTGGAAGATTGCCGGTTCGTATCCCACGGCCGGCAGAGGAATCCAACTCCATTGGGCCCCTGAGCAAGGCCCTCAACCCCAACTGCTCCAGGGGCGCCGTATAAATGACCCTGCGCTCTGACCCCAGGCTTCTCTCCCTGTCTGTGTGTCTCATGGAGAGCAAGTTGGGGTATGCAAAAAGACGAATTCCTAATGCACGAGATTGTATATGGCCAATAAAGTGACCTTTACTTATCATGAACTCCACTTTGTGAAGGGGACCTGGAGTCGTGACAGCCTTTTTTCCCCCGTCTCCTCAGAGCACGGACCAGGCCCTGGAAGGGGACGGCCCTGTGGGAGGGCGGAGCCTGTACCCATCCGTGAGCACGCTGGGGCGGAGCCAGGGCCCCACGCTGCCCGGCGGAGGAGCATGGGGAGGCCAGTACCCCTCCCTGGCCCGCAGCGTGTCGCAGCGGTCTGCAGGGGACCAGTCGGACTCGGTGTTCCTGGACGGGGATGGGGGTGGCCCCTGCAGCCCGGGGAGCACGGTGCTGCGGTACTGCGAGGACCCCACTCTCGGCCCCGGCAGCGACTCTGATGTGGAGGCTGATGGGTACGCACACCCCCCCAGCGCTGCCCCGCAACACGGTGAGTCTGGGACGACTCTGTTCTGCCCCTTCCTTGGTACCGCATGGCCTGGCACCTCCAGCATTGTCGCCATAACCTTGCAGGGGGTTAACAGCTCTTCTGTGGCTGAGCACCTTATTTTCTTTTCCATTCACAATCACCCATTGGTTTTCCGACGCCTTTCCGGTTTGGAATAGCCAAGTCTGTGTCTTTCCCGTCTCGGCTCGCTGCTGTGAAGCCCGTAAGCACACCTGAGGGAGAATGAGCAGGCGCAGGCGGATTCCTCTGACCTGCCCACCTTTGAAACACTCGTGTTTAAACACATCACAGGCTCTGGGCAAGGAGGGCTAAATACCTTAGTGGCATTTAGCCGGTCGTGCTTCATTGGAGAATCGGCAAGTCTGCTAATGACATGCTCCTGGCTCGAACCCGTGATCACAGAGTGCCCAACCTGTGCTCAGCCAAGTCTTTTACCAGCTGAACCAGTTGAGTGGCCCTTCCTCTCCCTCTTCAGTGTCATGCTCAGTATGGGCACAATACATGACAATATATTGCAAAACCTATATAGGAGAGATATAGAAACATCTTCAATGTTTCTATCCCTCCCTTCAGTGATCATCGGAGTTCTGTTGTAGGAGGAAGGTTCCAGCCATGTTCTCATGCATCTCTCAGGCACAATCACATGAATGATGAGCTGTGCTGTTCTCTCTCTCCCTTTCCCCAGAGTACATAAACCAGCCCATGGGTGGGAACAGAGGCGGCACGGAGCGGCCCAGTACTCTGCCCCGCAGGTCTCACGGAGCGCCCCGCTTTGCCAACGGGCTGGCGCCGGGCAACAGTGTGGAGAACCCCGAGTACTTGGTACCCATGGGCAGTGCTGTGCCTGCCTTCGACAACCCCTACTACCTGGACCTGGGCGCCAAGGCGGCGGGCGGACATGCTGAGGGAGCGCCCACAAGGCTTGCCAATGGCTTTGTCACGCCAACCGCGGAGAACCCCGAGTACCTGGGGCTGGCGGAGACCTGGAGCGGACCGAGGGAACCCTGATACCGGCACACAGGCAAGAGCTGAGCACACCAAACAGACTTGTGAACCCTGAACTTTTGTAGAGATGGGGCTTGTTTTTACGGGCAGGGCCTGTACGAGGAAGGAGCTGTGGCTGTTCTGCTCGGTGTCTGGTCCAGATGGTGTACCTTCCCAGGACGCTCTGGGGCAGGGCACCCATCTCATCTCCCCATGCTCTCTTATTGCAGTGTGCCTCTAAATGTCAAAACCCCAGAGGATGGAGGGACAACATGGTATGCTGGCATCACACCCTGGAGGTGTTAAGTCTAGGCATCTGTAGCATCACAGTTTCTCTGTGCCAATCTGGTGTACCAACTCAGGCCACTTGACTATGAAGTGTCAGAGAACCTAAGAGCAGCCCGTTTGACTCCAGGCTTCATTGACTGTTGCTGGCAAAGGGTAGGTCAGCAACCTGACCCGACTCCCACTGAGGAATAAAAATGTGTGCTGGTCCAGGCTGTACTGTGAGCTTGGGGAACCAGAAGGTATCTACTGGTCCAAGCTGAACTAGTCCAGGCTGTAAGGCAGGCTGCATTGGTTCAGCATTGACGTGCTTTAATCATAAATGACTTTGTCTGTTTTCACCCTAATGAGAAAACAGCCCTTTGTAGCTTAGCTCAGCTAAAATCCATTGTGTGACACATAATTGAAATCCTTGCTTCTTGCTCCTGGTTCTATCTACAATGTTAATCATTTAATTGAATCAATTATTCATTTAGTCCTTAATCATCTGTAATTTAATCATTGATGAAAAATGAGTATCTTACAGTTTTCTATCTGTAAAACCAGAATGGCTGGGACTCTCCAGGAACAGAAGTGAGGATGTATTTAGCGTGGTGTATTCAGTCACCATTCTCCAGCTGTTGGCAGCAGCTCAGAGTACTGCTTGAACTGGAATGAAGGTCCGATTGGTTTGTAACTATGTACTGGGAAACTGGAGTCTTGTTGGGTTAGTTCAGAAATTAAATGAACTGCATGGTGAGTTCTGGAGTGGCTGACCAAGACCAACATTTGACCCTGATCCTAATTCTGCCATCTCCAGATTCCCAGCAGAGTTGGCAGCTTCCCTCGACAGCTGATGTCATGCACTTTTTATTTGCCCCTCCACTCACCTCAAAACCAGGCAGCTGTTTCAAACTTTTCACCTGTAGCTTCTGAACAAAAGCTGAAACTGGGGGGGGGAGCAAAGACTGGGGTTCTTGCATAGCGCCTCTATCTTGGGGAGAGCCGAGCTTGCGCTGTGGAACATCTTCAATGGTTTTGGGAAAATGGAGAGGAGAAAGATCATTCATTTGCTTTCCACTGCTCACCTGCACGTGGGTCCTCCTTGGCATCAGGCCCTTTACCAGAGAGACAGTGTCACCCTCACACACTCTGGAAGTGGCCAAACGGACTGAGAATATGCGAGATTCTGGAGAATCGCAAGTGCCTGGAGAGCGTGCACTGCTTCTGGGCTGGGATTCGGACCATTCCTGCCCTAATGTCCTGGCCAGCACAATGCATCTCTTGAGAACCCCCAGAAATCATATCAGGTCTCTCTTAACAAAGCATTGCATAAAAAAGTGCCAAAAACCCTCCTCCCTTTTGTAGTCACTTTTGTTCGTCTGGATGCTAGTAGCTAATTGACCTGAGAAGCTCGTCCACCCGTTTCATAGAAAAAGAATCCAGTGTATCAGCAATGATAAATTCGTAGCCTGTTCCAATCACTGACGATGCTAGTGCTTGCAAGGGGATTGGCACACCACTGCTTGTGCAGAACTTGTGCTTGCTCTCAGGCATGAGACTAGAGAAGCTGTTTGCCTCCGGCAGAAAATACTGCTGCTTCTTTCCAGCTCTACCCCTGGCTTTGTGATTGGAGACAGGCTGTAATAAAAGAAGATGTCATTGTGTAGAAGTTATAGCAGTAGCACAGACACAAACACTGCGGCAACTCGTAGGGCCTGTACATCTTGCAGGGCCTGATACAGAGCAGTTCAGGTGGCTGATGTTTAGCCCCGTGGTGTGGGAGGAGTTGTGGGCAGCTCCACATGTGGTTGTTTGTATATGACGGGGTTCTGTGCTCGCCAGCATGTACTCGAAAGACTGTAATGCTTAAGCGTGCTCCTCGAGGGCAGTGGTCCAGCAGAGTGCGCAGGTCTGTTCAACTCGCCATCGGCAGAGGAAGACGGTTAAGTGAGTTTAGTTAAAGCCTCGTGGGACTAATTTCCCCCTCGTCCCCATGGGAAGCAGACCTAAGCCCTGCTCGACCTTGCGAAAAGCTTTGGAGAAGAACGACAGCCAACAGCTCGAACCCCTGTTGACAGGAGGAGTGAACGCTGGCCTCGACAGGGCAGCATGGCGATGTGCTCGCTGCGAGGGACTGACTCTGGCCTGGCCCTTGGGACCTCAGGACGGTACAGCTGAGGAGTGTACAGAGAACCAGACCCCCCCGCAGGGCTGGGGCCATGTGGACTAGAAGCTCCAGGCGAGCCGTCCCCATGAGTTTCAGTCCTTGGCAACTCCAGTGATCTTTCACGTTTGCCTCGAGCCTCTGACTTGGCCTTGGGGCTTGGTTTGGAAAGGGGGGTTAGGGTATGAGCAAAGTGGTCGGAACAATGTGTACATTTTTTTTTAAAAAGAACCGTTGTATATTTGATACTTTAATGTTTTTTTTTTCTATAAGGTACAGTTCTCCTTTTAAACATTTTATTTTAAAAAACTGTAATCTAAATAACTGTTTACGCACTTGAGGGGTTTTGAATTTTTGGAATTAACGCTGTTTACCGTTGAAGGGTCTGGGCAAACGTATGTACATAACAATACAACGAGTGCAGAACTCCGTTCAGACCTGCCAGACCTGCAGCTCTGGGTTGAAGTGGTCACATGCGAACCCAGGTCTTTAAGGCTAGCTGAGGAGGCTCGTTCTGCCCTGCTTTTGGGCTGATAGAGGGACAGTGTGTCCTTGGGGACAGGGCTAGTGGGAATGTCCTCCTCCCCCGAGGCAGGAATCGGCTCAGCAGTGATGGGATGAGCATGAGGAGGAAGGTGGAGTTCCAAACACTGGAAGAGCAGGAGTTCACCAGCTGTTATTTGGACGGTACTGACGTGCGCTAACTCTGTGAATATCACAGGGGAGCCGATAGTTGCCTACGCTGTTCCTAAGGAGTACAGTTGTCTGGAGCATTGGAAGTGTCCTACCTCCTTCCCCAGGGGCAGGAACAGGTGGGTGGGGCTGAGAATTGCTGCTGAGCAGAGCTCTGAAGAAAGCAAGCAGGGACCTTCTGAACGCAGAACCCTGCTTTATTGCGTTCTGGCAGATGTGCCTCTCCTCCAGCACGCAAGTCAGACAGTTGACACATAAAATAAATACAGGAAACAAGTCAACTGCCGTCATAAAAGATAATAGGCCAAGACTTGAAAAACCCATTTCAAAGAGCTACATACAATTAAGCGCCTCATAAAGGAGTAGGTTTTGTCATTTACACTTTTAATTTTTTGACAAAGCACATTCTGTGTATTTTGCATAATATTCAGCTAATTGCCCAGGTTACAGTAGCCCTTGATCTACTCAAACAACTGCTTCTGAAAAAACTCCTCAAAATAGTTCACGTAGTTCAGGGTCAGGAAATGCAGGTTGGTGTTGCACATCGAACGCACAGTGGAGCACTGGGCTCTGCAGCCTGTGTGACCCTCAACTACTTCTCTGCGGTTTATTTTCTATCGCATTCGAACAGGAGGGGTCTTCTCAGAACAACATTTTTGCCTCCTGGGAAAACAGGAGCTGCAGTGTCTGTTTTGTTCAGATTACTCTGTATTTAAGGCACAAAAATAATAAAGAAGTCTTTATCCAGTTGAACAGTCAGTCTGAGTGTTTTTGTAGTTCTGTAAGACTTTTTCAAAAGTGCCTAGAGAGTGTGCATTGCTTCCAGCTGGGATTGGGACCATTCCTGTCCTAATGTCCTGGCCAGCACGAAGCCTCTCTGAGAAGAGCCCAGGCCACTGAGGTATGTGTGTTGAGGGACATCCAAGTCCAAAAGGTGGTCAGGCGAAGAGTGTCTGGCTTAGGGCTCACCTACATCACCCTTGGTTTTGGGCTCCTGCCACCACTCTGCATAGATGGACTCCTCATAATCCCCCACACCCTCGAACTCGGCATCTGGGGGCTCGTCTGGACCTGCCCCTGTTACCTCTGAGGTCACCACATCCTGGGAGTGGACACAGAAGGTTTGTCAGTAAGCATGCTGCATGTGGCAGGGTGTGTTGATCGATGTCTGAATAGCATGCTTCTATACGCACACATACATACACGCACACAGCATTCACTCTATATTCACATACAGAAGTCTAGACTGTGCCTGCTCATATTTTTAATTCAGAATTCACCATTAATTCCATCACTCTATTTCATATTTTCCACCGGGTTTGTATCCCCAGGTGTTTTTTCATGCTTCTTTTTTCACTACTCTTAAGGGTCTCCAACCCTGCTGCCAGAGAGCCCCATTTTACATCCAACCAGTAAGTCACTGATTTCTCGGAGGCACACAACAATTTTATTGTGATAAATGGAGCAGGTGACTTGTTCAATGATTTAGAGTCTCAAACAAAGATCTTTTAAACCTTTAACCTAAAGGGGCCACATTCAAGCAGCTGATCAAACTACCTCCTTAACTGTCAAAAGTGTTCCCCGACATTAGGAACAGCTGATTCGGGGTGATCTACTGCAAAAATACTCCCTGTGAAGAATCTGAACTCCACTGAGCTGTTGATGTGTGTCGTGAGTGTTAGTGTGCTCATTTTAATCTAGTAAGGCTCTGTCGATTTTTCTTCCCACGGTGAGCTGAACAACCTCAAGATAACTTAATCTGAGCTCCTAAGAGGCTAAGATGAGGTGCCAGGACCTATGCGAAACCAGCCAGGACAGGTCGCAGGATTCTGGCTCAGCACCCCAGGGTGCCCTGGGCTTCACGCGGGCTGGCAGAGATGCTCACCTCGTCATCAGCCTCCAGGTAATTCGCCGCAAACTCCAGCATCTGCTTCTGCAGCATCGTCGTGTTGAAGTACCTCAGAGCCTCCTGGGCAGGACAGCACAGGAAGAGCAATCCATCAGCTCTGACCAGCAACATTCTCACTCAGCTTGTTCCCTTTTTCCCTAATCTTCAGCTCCTTTCCCAAAAATGACTTTTAGCGCGGAAAACTGATTTCCTTTATTTTCTGCTATGTCTTCAGTTTTGTATCTTTAGATGTCTGCAATTACATTTAAAATATGGGCGGCAAATTCCTCTTTTAGAGACTCCTCTGCCCTGAATAAAGTATCCTTGACTGTTAGTGTTGCTTTGATTTAAGTCGCTGCAATGCTGCAGTATCCAACGGCTGTAGAAATCAAAAAGTCACTTCCCTGGACACGTTTCCACACGAGCCCCTGACTTGGCTCCATGAAAGGAGCTCAGGCTGGAGTCTCTTTCCTGCCCTGCTGTGCAGCAGCTCTAGACAAGGAGAATTCTAACACACCCCAACCCCAGGGGTACAGCGCCGCACAACGCAGGGCTTTGTTCTGCTGAACGGACTGCTGGGAAATCCTTTAGAGTCATTTTGGGGGGGAGGGGAGAGAGTTTGCCAAAATGGGAAGAGATTAGTGCGGAGTTCTGCACCTTCCTTTAAGCTGAACAGCTGAGCCCCAGGGAGGACAGGGTGGCCGACTGGGGGAACACTGTGACCCAGGGGAGCCCCAGACCTCAGAACCCCCACGCACCCACCCACCCACCCATCGGATCTGATCCAGCCCAGCTCTTGGTTACTTCATTAAGGCCTCACCTGAGCTAATAAACTGGTTAATCAGACCCATCTACATTGGCAAAGAAACACTGTACAGGGGCTGAGGAGGGAATGCCGGTCTCTTTGAGCTCCTGTGGAGGACTGGACAACCACGGTCTCAGAGCCAGGCCAGGGAAAACACAACTGGGCACCACAGCAAGGGCCAGGGCCTGAAGCTTGGAGCTCTTTTATCATGCAAATCAAGCCACCACAACCACAGTAAAAACAGACAATAATCCTTTAAAGAAAGTTTATAACTTAGCCAACGTTTTATGCTATGTTAATGTGAGTACTAATTGTGGAATAAAGTTTATTTTGTTCAAAAACAAATAAGACCCATCTACCTGAAGGCTGGAGATTTTAAATTTTGTGTAGAATGTAATGGCTACAAAGGCAACCTCCAAGGCTTAGACAATTAAGTAAAGTTAATTTAATTCAGTCATTAGTTGAATCAACATTCAGTCATGTCACTGAGGGCTGGAGGGTATGTGAGTGGGGAGGGACCCCCCAAGTATCAGACAGTACCCTGACATAAAGGGTACTTACTCACTCCAGGTGTAGGACAAACCATCACTCTATTCTGAGGCTTAAACGACTGCCCCTCCTTACAAAGACAATTTCATTAGTTCTCCTAGCTGTCCAGGCTAAATTCCATGCTGGACTTCTAGAGTCCAGCCTACTTAAAATTCCTCCTCAAGTTAATTAATTAAGCAGTTACACACTTCTCTAACTGACTGGTTGTGCAGCAGATTTCATTACAAAGCCCCCCGGAATTATCGGGCCAGTACTCCGGCAGTTTCAGACATAAGGACGCCCTCTGCTGGACGTGAACAGGCACTGCTGCTCACTGGGAGCTCTGACACATTTGGAGAGCAAATCGTCGTAATGAATTGTTTCCAGTGAAGGATTCTCCCAGTTTACTCTGCAACTACAGGAATGGAATTTGGTCTGTGCTAACAGAGGAGATGTCTGTCTCTCAAGAGAATTTAAACCTTTGTGCGACCCACAGGAAGCACACACTTGGAAACGCGGTCCAGGCTTGCGTTCAAATTCGTTTCACCTGGCACGGCCCTGCGGCACGCGGACCCCGCCAGGGCTACAGGGCTGCTGGGCAGAGCGTCCACAACTCACCGGCCTGGGCTGGAAGTGGCTCTCCTCCAGCCCCCACTGCTCCCGGTAGAACCGGTAGTACACCATGTTCTGCTGCATGACCTTGTCGTCGGGGTCGAAGAGCATGTAGCTAGCCGCACAGGGGGCGGCGTTCCTCACGTCGTTCACTGCCCAGCAGAAGAAAGAGGATCACCTTACAGCCCGCGGTGGGCTCCCAGCACTGCCACCCTGCGTCAGGACTGGGGGCACACTGCAGATCTTCCCACGACCCTTTCAACCCCCATATAAATAGCAGCATCTACACCAGGCCCTGAATGGTGCTAAACACTGCTGTGTTAGTGTATTCTCCAATATATGCATAGTGTTGTGTCACCTACACATTATCTGTAAAATCAGGAGTGGCAGACTCCATTCCTGAATGACCTAGTGTCTCCCGTTCTTTTGCTTCAACCCAAGAAGTCAAGCGAACAACTCATCTAATTATTTTCTTTACGGGATCTTTCTTAAGATCATATACAGTCGATTCCTGAGAAAGTGCACGTCACTAGAAGTCCTGATGCCCATAAAACACCTTCAAGGCCGGTCAGAAACGTAAAGTTCTGCTGTTAATTAAATAGCTGGGCCAAGTACAGTGTCTAACTGAGACACTAACACTAGTAACTACTGTTTGTAACTATCAAGGCAGCTGGAATCACTAGAGCAGTATATAATTGCCACATCAGCACAGACGCCCCCCTGCAGTCCTGTACTCACACTTGTAATAGGCAAACTGCAGATAGTGGTACATGGTGGCCACGAACTTCTCCACAAAGAACCCCCCGACGTTGGGGGTGAGATTGCCCTCGCACTTCACCTTGCACTCCAGCACGTCCGTGTAGAGATCTGCAAGAAACGTCACATTTAAAAAAAAATATCAGAACTGAAATTCCCCCGCAGAGAGCATGGCTCTCTTGGCGTGTCGCGATGACGGGGACGAATGACAGATCGGGGAAACGCCGATGACATGGGACTCCCAAGTTAGAACTCCCGAGCTCCTGACCCCTGACCTCTGACCCCTCCCCCATATAATACGGCCCTGATGATTGGGAGCTGAGGACAGCGATTGCCAGGAGGGCAGGGGGAGCGTCAGTGATCACTGACCAGCCAGGGAAGGGTAGAAGTCCTTAAACTCCGTGATCTCGTAGGCGCCCTCGCAGCCTGCCAGGCACAGGTCGTACACATTGAAATACTCAGAGGCGGCCTGCTCCATGTCCCGCGCGCTGCTGCTGAAGTCTCCCGCGTTGAAGAGCTTGACGGCCTTCAGGAAGACGCCCTGCAACACGAGAGACGAGCACTCAGTCACTTCCCTGAGAGACGGCGAGACCCCGCGGATGACAGGAGCCAGTGACAGCCGGCCAGAGGCTTCTGCGTTCGTTTTATTTCACGTCATGTAAAAATGCCCACCACACACTGCCTGACCCCCTCCCCGACACACGAGCGCCCACCAGGACGGGCCTGTGGAATGCTGGGAAGGCGGGCCCCTCACCTCGTAAGGCTGTTCCTCGTGGTCAATGAGATACTCCTCCACGTCAAACAGGGTCTTGTAGTAGTTCATGTTTTTCTGCATCAGAGCGTCCTTGGGGTTTCTCTGCAGGTAGGTGTGCGCTGCTGAAATAGCCTTTTCCAGGTGGTTCTCCTAGGGGGGACAGACAGAGGACAGTCAAATATTCTTAAGAACATATACAGGTTACATATGAGAAGATGGTCGTTCGTCCCATCTAGCCCATTTGGTTGTTAAAGGCTAATTCTCCCCAGTATCTCATCCAGCTGTTTCTTCATGGAAGCCAGGGTCTCGGCTTTAACAACACAGCTGGGTGGCTTGTTCCCCACTCCCACACCCCTTTGAGTAAAGAAGTGTCTCCTATTCTCAGTTTTAAAAGCACTTCCTCTTGTTTTCCACTTGGGTCCTCTGGTTCATAATCCACTGAAGAAATAAGCTGAGCTGACTAGGTCTGAGCCCTTGAGGCTTTTGAAATATGCTGTAAAACTTAACAGCACGGAGAACAAAGTTGGAGAGCAAACATAATGAGTGAGCATATGCACATTCACTTGTTCACCACTTCCTGAGAAATATCAGGCACAGACACAGATGGACACCAACTCTCCTCCTGGTGCACTTCAACCCCACCCCCATACAGCAAACCTAACCCGACCCTTAACCTCCCTTCCACACAGGGACTCTAAATGAGACTGTGGTATTTACTCCACACAGCAGGACTCCCAGCTCATTAGCTGCACATGTGGGCAAAATGTGTAACTGTGTAAGCTAGTTCATTTTTACAAACCCTTTGCACATTTTAATGAGTTTTTTTTTTGTGCTCAGCACTAACCTGGCAGGTTTGAGTTATTTGGTTCAGTTTCCTGTCAATAGTCTGGCAGACACGTCTAGGGAAAACTCCTTTATTGCAGAACTGAGCTGCAATTCAAAGACTCACAGGGCGAGAGTCTGGTCAGAGAATACCACCGAGCAGGTTTTCCTTGTGTGTTAGTGGCACAGCCACAGTGTCATTGACAACATCATTGAAATGTGCAAAAAATAAAAAGGATTCAGCTACTAATGAGACCGAATATGAACAAGGCACGGTGACAGATTACATGGAAAGGGAGAAGAGAGAGAAGTACATCTAACTGAGGTCCTTGCTTAAATATAGCGTGTAATTGAATGTTTAATGGTAACAAACAGCTACATATTCTTATTTCCCATCTCTTCTAGAACATCCCACCTCAATACCTGTCCCACACCTATAAATGCACAGGTAAGAGACCAGGACTGATGGCCAGCAAGCAGCTACCTTAATCAGCCCAAATGAGAGGCACGGGCTCAGCTTGGACAGCCTCTGCCTGGCCTCACTGGTCACAATCTGTATTGCAACACGGAGAAGAGAGGCAAGTCGACCCAGAAATCTCCAAACCGGGAATGGAGATAAGACTCCAGCTGCACAGCTGCCTGGTTTCATTCAGGTTCTAGCAGGCAAGGGCCTCTTCATCACATTGAGGATGCAAAATCAAACAACAGGGCTAAATTATGTACTGCATACAAATACCTGCTTATCCACTTCACCGGTACAATTCCATCATGTGAGGAGGTTTGGGAGCTGTACAAGTGCAAGGAATTTTTGTTCTAATTAATTCACATCACAGTCTGTAGTTCATAAAACCTAAGATGGATCAAACTGCTGTGGAGCCAGAGTCTTCACAGTGCTTTCTGCACTTACTCAAACGTCTACTGAGGATGCACCGCAGAAAGGGGCAACCTGAATTTACCAAACTCCATCTGGACATCGGAACCCCGTCTTGGGGTCAAACGAAAAGAAAATTGGGCTTTTGGGGCGTGCTCCTCAGAGTTACGCCTGTAAAAGGGTAAAAGCTCATGCCCCCTGTGAAATATGGTGGTGGTGGGGGGTCTAATATGTTTTGGGGTTTTTGTACCCAAGGGCCCTGGAGCCCCTGGTAAGATATGTGTTGGAGTTCGTGATTTCCTCTGTTAGGATATTTTGGTCAAACACCTGGTTCCCTCTGCTAAGAAGCTCAGCTTCGCCCTAAAAGAAACATTCCAGCATGACAATGATCCAGAGCATGCAAATAAATGGTTAGCTGCACACAACATAAATATTCTTGACAGGCAGTCTCAATCTCCAGACTCCTGTTGAACCCTTGTGACTCCGACTCCAGAAGGTAGGTCACAAATGGAAAATAAAGGGTCTAAAGGATGAGCAGTTCTATCTGGAGGAAAGGTCAATATTCCTCCTCCGAAGTGCCAAACGCTCACGGACACTATAGGACACACCGGGCAGAGAAATCCTTGCCAGAGGAGGCTTTACAAAATACTAACTACACGGGTGCGAGTGAATGTGACCCGTTGTGTTTTCTGGTCTTTATCGTGTGTGACAAATGCGTCTTTGTTCTGTGCAATGTTTTTAAGATAAAGCCATCTCTTTTTTGCGGTTTTTAAGCAAGTTCGTAAATCTTTGTTACGGGGTTTCTAGTCCTCACTTGGGTGTGAATAATTCTGGGGGGGAGGGGGGGGGCACTACTGTCTGCATTCCTGCTGAACTGCCCAATCTCCCCACCCCCCGCGGACTACCGCTCTATACCTCTGGCTAATCCACAGCCCCACCTGTGTTTGTACTTAAAACCGGGCAAGTTCTCTCTTGGAACTCGCCGTGGAAAATAAAAGAGGTTTCCAAACAGCAGCCCCCTTCTGGGAAAGCCAAACAGTGTCTGAAGGTATTATTGGTCCTCAAAACACGATATCGCTACTCTCGGCTGGATTTTTAAAGACACAAAAGACAAAAAGTGTATTTCTTACAGTGACTGGCTTTTCAGTTTTGAATCGGTTTCCTGGTAGGCTTTATGTGAAACCAACATTAAGTATGGAAGACAGAACAGAAATAATGCACCATATACAATACCTCTGTAGCTATAATTAAACAAGTATGTACACTATTTTTTTCCCCAAACACTGGACATATAAATGCTTCACACCTTCATAAACAAGGCTGTTCACTTCGCAATTCTGATGTTTCGTTTTAACAATTGACTGATAAAATCGGAATGAAAAAATGAAACAATATCGATTTTTGTCCCCATCATTACACTTTTGAAAGATGCAAACTCCCCCGCGACCGTAAATGGGGTGAAGCGGTTAGAAAAAGGATGGAGGGATGAAAGATATACATTTATGATCAAATGCACACAAAACAAATCTCAGTCCCATCCTCAGAATTACACTCCGGAAAGGTGGGCTGCACGCGCTATCCGCAGGGCGCGGGGGACGTGGCAGCTCTGATCCAGCCCCCCGCCCCGCGCGCTCTGAGTCACGGAAAAACTCGAATCACGCAGAACGACCGCGGGGGCTCCCTCACAGACAAGACTACGCACAAGCCCGGCAGTCCTGTGAACGGAAAAACAATGTACTTGTCCTCTGGCACACAACCCTGAAGTCACGCCTACCGTTTCAAAAGATTTGTTTTAAAAAATCTCATTATTAATAATAATAACAACAACATTTTCATTCACCGTGCATAGACCTCCTGGGCGTTCGTCTTACAGGAGCTTCTGAACTGCAGTGAAATGGAAAACACATTTATCAAGTAATAGGTTTATTCCATGCTGAAAAAAAGGAGAAAGAAAACGCAACGTTTCCTCACACCTGAAGAAGGCTCCACGGCCGAAACGTTGCGTTTTCTTTCACCTTTTTTCAGCAGGGAATAACCCTATCATTCGTTCCTTTGCAGCATACGCCTGCTGACGCAGCTCCCCACCTAATTTATCATTTACGCTTGGTGCGGCCGATCACAGTGAAGCGTCTGGTTAAAAATGTAAACCCCATGAGCTTTTTCTTAAATAGACAATAGATCAAATAAATCCATTGTCTGCATTCGTATCTAATTTGGGACTCTCATTGGGTAGCCTGATACTGCCACAAGACTACCTCGGTCTCCAAGCATCCCGTGTAAATGGGGAAGAAAATGACATGTATCGCTCAAAACCCCACAGCGCCGGTCCTGTTGCTGCTCTGGTTTAAAGACGCACGGCTACACCTATAATCTCACCTACTGTTCTGCAAGCTTCGCCGTGACTAACAGCGAAACAACGTGACAGACAACACGCAGCGCTTGGATCGTGTTGGAAGTCGATGCGCGCCCCGGCTACCGAACCGGGATTCCGTTCTCGGCGAGCGGGGAAGGCATTAACAAGCCCCACCTGGTAGTGCGCGTACTGGAGATAGCGGTACGGCATCCTCTTCTCGAACGCATCCAGGACCTCCTTCCTCGGGTAGGAGACGGAGAAGACGGGGAGGTTCGCCTTGCACTTTCTGAGGCAGGACGCCCGGCGCAGGATGTGAGCGTGGACGCGCAGCTCACTGTCGGCGAAGAGCGAGTCGTGTTCCCGGCTGACCCGGCTGCAGTTCCGGCTGCAGAAGGCCTCGCTGTCCCTGAGCAGCCGGTGGAGCCGCAGGCTGAGCTCCAGGTACCTGATGCTCTCTTTCCAGTTCTCCGCGGCGTGCTGGTCCAGCGCGTACCCGTAGGCGGACTCCAGGGGCATCAGCTCGCTGTGCGGGTAGCTCCTGAAGCTGTACTTCTCGTACTGCGCCTCCGCCGCCAGGAGCAGAGCGGCGCAGAGGAAGACGGGGAGCAGGGCTCCTCTCGCGCCGCGGAGCCCCGGGGACATCGTGAGGGGAGAGACTGCTGCTGTGGCGGCCGGCTCCCAGTCGTTACCAGACGGTCATGCCTGCGCGCACGTACACAGGCCCGGTGGATGAATGAAGGAAATTTGGAGAGAGAGAGAGGGAGGGAGCGAGAGTGCGAGACAGGAGGGAGGAAAAAAAAAGTTTGGGTCCTTCATAAGTTTTGGGCAGGAGTCAGTCAGTCGGGTTCTCGGCTCTCTCCGGGTCATAGCGCCCACAAGACCGCAGCAAATTGCTGTGATAAAGGGCAGCTGTGCACTTTAATCGTATTTCACTGCATTTGCTACAGTGTTACTACATATAGTCATTTGACAACATATCGTGATTAAAGATAATAAATAAGTGCGACATAACCACCATGAACTCTTTTTAGCTGGGGAGTTGCGTCAGCATGCGTAGGCTGCAAAGGAACAAGTAATAGGATTATTCTATTCTGAAAAAAAGAAGAAAGAAAACGCAACGTTTCGGCCGTGAAGCCTTCTTCAGGTGTAGAAGGCTGAAGAACCTGAAGAAGGCTTCACGGCCAAAACGTTGCGTTTTCTTTCTTCTTTTTTTCAGCATGGAATAAACCTATTACTTGTTCATGAACTCTTTTTGACACTCCTTTTCGACATCATTACGTCCTTCACTTTTTTGTTAATATATATATACGTGACCTACAGTACAGATCCTCCAATTAAAAATGGCTTCAGAAACTCAGACGGAGAGACGGTCTACTAGTCATGCAAACACGCAGCAGTGCAGAGTAAGATGAGTTCTGTAGAGGGCTGACTAGAACTGTTCTTTACAAGGTAGGATATTGTTTTCCAGATTCAGTCCATTGTACAGCATTGTACAGTTGAAGAATTTAAAAGTATTATTATTAATAATAATTGCTCACACTTATATAGCGCTTTTCTGGACACTCCACTCAAAGTGCTTTACAGATAATGGGGATCCCCTCCACCCCCACCAGTGTGCAGCCCCACCTGGATGATGCAACAGCAGCCATAGTGCACCAGTACACTCCCCACACACCAGCTCTCAGTGGGGAGGAGAGCAGAGTGATGAAGCCAGGTCAGAGATGGGGATTATTAGGAGGCCATGATGGGTAAAGGCCAATGGAGAATTTGGCCAGGACGCCGGGGTTACACCCCTCATTCAGAAAACGCTAGGATTTCCTGTGTACTAGTGCGAAAAAGACAAATCTGACTATAATGTCTTTATTTTAAAGTGATTTATTTATTTCGCGTATTGTAATAGAATGCTTATCTTTCCCGGGACCCCTCGGGGACATTGCTAGACTAAAAGAGATCTCCGAGCTCTAATTAAAAAAAAACGTCAACTAAACCAGGGCAACAGCTTCAACAGTATGTCTGGGCAGCTTGTTACCCGCTCCTACACCCCTCTGCGTAAAGACGTGCCCCCCTGTTGTTGGGTTTTAAATGCGC